CATTGGTCTTTTAGTGCAACTGCAAGTAGTTGTTATCCATGGATTGGTATATTTCTGTATACTTTTTTTTAGATCATGACTAAAATCATCTTGTAATCTGACTTAGTATTTATCCATCACTAATTTTACAGTCTGTTCTGCAGTTAGGTTAACTTTAAAAGTTAATTTAATTGTACTTTTTGTTCCTTTATTTTTTTAGTGTTATTTTGGTCTTACCTAATTTTGGCCCCCCTACCAACTTTTTTCCCTAAAACCTTAAACTTTTTATTTTCTATACAGATATTTGAGGTTTATGATGAGTTACGACTACGAAATAATTTTAAAATTTTAACAGTAAAAAGTTGAAGAATTTCCTACAAAGATCAGGGTTGAAGAGGGAAGTTTTTATATTTTGGTTACTTAGTTTTGAGCAGATTAATTTTTGAAACTATATAATCAATTCAATTTTTTGAAGATTGCGTGAGAATTTAAAAGCTTTAGATAGAAAAGGAAGGAACCAAATTTGCTGAATTTTGAAAACATTGGGACTTAATTGACTCAAAAACTTAGAGGATCAAAGTCACGTACAATTCAAATAAGAGAGACCAAAAGAACAATTAATCATACAAAGCTTTTAGTAGGTTTAAAATTCTTTATCCAACTTAGATACAGGGTTTTGTCTCCTCTTCTAATCCTTTTCTGGAGATGTAGTGACAAAGTCAACAGATAATAGCTTAAAGACATGGGAGTAAACAGACTCAAAACGGTACTCTATACATTAGACAGAGCTATTGGACATCTTGATCATGAAAACTACTCAGTTTGATAGAGGGATTGACTTTGTGACAAATTTTGATGTTGATCATCAATCAGTTAGTCACAGATCTCGTGAATAACAGTAGCTCATAATTTTATGACAGGTCAAAAGTAGTGATTCTCCTTGTTCCCCTGGAGTTGTTTCTGAAACATGGTATATTTTCATAAATCTCACCTCTGCATTTTTTTTTAATATTATAAATCCAATAGAAAACCATTGCTGCGGGGGAGAATTGTATTCAGTGCTTTCATTCTAACAGTATGACAGACATGAGAAAGAAACTTGGTCATGGGGAAGACTCCGGAAAAAAGGCCCCTCATACAGACAGAACAGGAGAGCTGAGCCACAGTTGTCTGATTCACACGGAAGACCAACGTCTTAATAAGGATTGCCAGGTAGTCTCTGTCAAAGTTGATTCTGAAGATCCCTATCCTGCAGCCGCAGGCACTAATCAGGAACTACAAAAGTCCGAAACCTTGTTGCGTGAGGCCAATGAACATGGTTTGGGCAATGAAATGATGAAAATTGCTGAATACCAACCTCAGTTTGACCTGCCTAATAACTCTGCGGGTAAGATTTTCCCCTTAGCCTCAAACATTGAAATATCAATCTAAATATTTTTTCTGTAATTGTGAAGTTTTTATTGATTTATATATTGCTTCGAAGCTTCATCATGCCTTTTTTTCATTTTGTTTAAAGAATTTACTCTTCATATAAATTTTCTTGTGATACAGAAGAGCACATTGTTGATTTAAACATGGGTGCTGAGAAGCATCCCTTTCATTTGAGGATGAGAGCTCCTGCCTCCAAATTGGAATCTGCATGCAGTAGTTCTGCCATTGCTGAAGATAAAGTTTCTGAACTGGACCTTTTAAATGCTAGAAATACACAGGTATAATAGGATGCCAATGCATTTCTATAACTTCAAAGGTGATATTTTATATTTTAGAAAAGAAAATTACAATGTGCAAATCCTGGCAAACATATTCGTATTTAGGAAGAATTAACAAAATCTAGAAATAATGGTTAAGTAGTTAACCAATAAAAGATTGGATAAAACATTGTTTTTGTCCCAATTGGAAATATAAATGTTTTAATTTATCCTGGTTGGAAATATGTGTACTAAGACTTCCTTAATTGGATTTCTTCAGAAATGGTTTGTGCACTGTTAGTCTTACTTCCCAAGTGCAACATGTCTCACTCTTTTAAACATCAACTATGAAGTTCATGTTATATCTTCCCTTTAAAAGACGATGATAGTGTTCCTCATTATTGATATCTGGTTCTCCTTATCCTCTTGTATATCCAGCTGATTTCAGAAGGAAAGACTACAGCCGGTGTTTGCTCAAGTAGTACTCAAGCTCAGTTAATGATGACTGAAGAAAGAATGAGGGTTCAACAAACAAAAACCAGTAAACAAAAATCGATGCCTATGATTTCTCTTTCTTTGGGCTTGTCTTTACCTATGGAGCTCAAGGCTAGGGTCAGTGATTCTGTTAATAGTATGTCAGTTTTATCTTTGTCAAATTCAACCACTGAAACTATAGATATTGTCCAAGATGGACTATGTCGGTCTTCATCACCAAACCGGAAACTATCGCATCCCAGGAACCAGGTAGTACTTGACAACATTGTACACAGAACAAGAGCTTTAAATGAAAGAGGAAAATTTCAAGAATACTTGAAGCCACACCCTATCATGTGGTCTGAAGAGGAGTTGGATTTTCTTTGGATTGGTGTTAGGAGACATGGTAGGGGCAATTGGGATGCCATGTTAAGGGATCCTAGATTGCGGTTTTCACCATCAAGGGTGGCAGGGGACCTTGCTGAGAGGTGGGAGGCTGAACAATTAAAACTTTTGAACGATATTGATGTTTCACAGTTCATGTATCCAGCAGCAGAAAGGGCAGCAGCTGTGGCATCATTGCAAGGAAACTTTTGCCACTTGGATCCTAAACAAAGTTTCTGGGAGAGTAACCATTTGAAGAGACCTATTACCAGATATAACTTTCAAAGCAACACCACTGCGCACACTCATAGGCCAACTACTCATTCCAGAAAGACCAATTACAACAACAGAGACAAGTATGAACTAGGATTTTTCCACTCTCCTGGAAGTTTGAGCATTTGCAGGCAGAACTCTTACTCGAATGACTATCCCTTCAATTGTTTGGCTGCGACAAATAATTTGCCCCACTGGCTCAGAGAAGCTGTTAACACTCCTCCAATCATGCCAAATATGTCTGCAGTGGGTTCCTTGAGTTCTCACCCAGACATGCCAGGAACTTCAGATCATTGCTTTAATACCAGCAAGTCATGCTTTGTACCTCAAAATTGGTTCAATGGTCTGAGGGCAAGTGAGCCACACATGCCAAATGGTTCTTACTATTCAACCTATTCAAGGAGAAAATATGGGGTGGTGAAGATGAACAAGTCTCTGGAATCTCGTGTCCAGAAACCAGATGACTTGATCATTGTTGATAGTGACACTTCTTCTGAAGAGACCATATCTGATGATCATCGTGCCAGCTTGTAGATCTCAACATCGAGGATGATTAAATGACAAGCTTTGTTAATAACTGTTGTTAGCTGCAAAAAGGTTGTAGTAAAATGATGCATGGTTTTGTAGTTGAGCAATCTGTAAAATGTAGGAGATTGAAGTGACTTGCTGCCAAACATTGATTTTCATATTCAACTGAATTTTTTAGAGATATTAAATGGTTGGCATTTATTTGAGGAATCAGATGAAATGCACTCTTTTGTTATGAATCTAATCTGTCTAAATATCATTCCTTGATTTGTTTTTATTTTTGATAAGGAAATTTTACAATGTAGTTGATTTCACTTTAAATTGTTGTTTTTTAAATGTTCTGTTTACATAAAATTTTAATTTCTTTATAAAGTATTTTTATTATCATTAAATATAAAAGTTTATTGGTTAAAGTCTGTTTTGTCCCCTTTATTTTTTCAAATAATTTTACAATGTTTAGAAAAGAACAGTAAATTTGATATTTTTCATTGAATTGGTGTTAATGACAGAGAAAGGAATGATGTAGTACACTAACTAAACCTACACCCAATGTCACATGTACATGTTGAAAACTAATTCAAACCGTATCTTTATTTAGTTTCTCTTGTATGTTAGAGTAAATTTATGACTGATATTCTTTTGGAGAAATTGGAATCAGTGATTCATCCGTAGGAAGAGGAAGCAAAACATAAAATGTAAAAAGATAATCTGGTTCAAGTATTTCAGGAAGTGGAGGGTGCGTCATTCACTTGTACACTTTGAAACTACTTTAAATGATGAACTAATCTGCTTAGATTAAGTTATTTAGGTATTCTCCACCAAGATATTTATTTTAATTTAATCATCATCATCATCACATTCATATACTTTTGTTATAATCCTTTTATTTCTCTCTTTCACTGTAGGATAAGGTCTACACTTTTTTCTTTATTTCTTTCAATTCACTTATCTCGTCATCAAAAAAAGCTGATATAAAGAAGTTAGCTGCCAATTGTGATTAATTTAATGTTGGAAACAACATTTTTCCTGCTTTATGTTCCTGCTACAATATCATATACACGTTATTAATTATAGATGCATGTGAATATTTTAAAAAGATATTTTTATAAATTTTTAAAATAAATATAATAAAATTACAAAAAAATATAAAATATAATATAAATTAAATTAAATATCAAATAAAATTGAATTTTAATAAAATAGAAATAAATTAATTGTAATTTTAATTAAAATTAACTTAAAAGAAATAAATTAGTTTTTTTGGATAATATATACTCATTAGGTATAGATAATATGATACATATATTCAACCAATTTATAATTAAATAGTAAAATATTTGTTATCGGTTGATAGTAGTAAAATATTGGTTATCTGTTGATAATAAATACTGATTTTGTGTTTCAAATTTTATTCACAAATATAAATATTAACATGAATATTTTTTTGTCATTCTAACTTAAGCATCTGGGTTTGGGTCTAATTGGTGCAAGAAATCTTACATGAGATTTATTACTTTGCATCAATCACACAAAAGTAAGGTCTACTTTTTTTTCTCATCACAAAGCACCTTTGATTCAAAAAATAAAGTCCCATTATCTTTCAATTATATTTTCCACAGTTTGTAATAATTACACATGTCAACATCTTTGGCATTCTACAGACCAAAACTTCTTATAAATGATACGTGATCTGATCAGTTTTTTCAAACTAAGTAATTTTTATTGAGTTGCATAAACAATGAGGGAGCCAATGGCTAACTTTGTGATTCCACTTCCTTTCATGCTCTTCATTACTCGTTGGTTTCTGTTGGCTCATCATGTCAGTGCTGCAGAGACTTCCACATACATAGTACACATGGACAGATCCCTTTTTCCCACTGTCTTTTCAACGCATCATGATTGGTTTGAATCCTCCGTTCAGTCCATAAAATCAGCAACACCTGGTCACTCATTCAAGCAATCACAGAAACAGATAGTGTATTCCTATAACCATGCCATGTATGGTTTTAGTGCAGTGCTAACCTCAGAAGAGTTAGAGGCTCTCAAGAACTCTCGTGGTTTTGTTGCGGCATATCCAGACAGAAATGTCACCTTAGACACCACTCACACTTTTGAGTTTCTCTCCCTAGCCTCTTCCAGTGGCCTCTGGCACGCTTCCAATTTGGGGGAGGATGTCATTGTGGGTGTTATTGACTCTGGTGTGTGGCCTGAGAGTGAAAGCTTCAAAGATGATGGCATGACCAAGAAAATTCCAAGTAAATGGAAAGGAACCTGTCAGGAAGGGCAAGACTTCAACTCTTCCATGTGCAACTTCAAACTGATCGGAGCTAGATATTTCAACAAAGGAGTGATTGCTGCAAAACCCAAGGTTAGAATCACTATGAACTCAGCCAGAGATACAGTGGGTCATGGAACTCACACATCTTCCACAGTTGCTGGCAACTACGTCAGTGGAGCCTCTTACTTTGGCTATGCCAAAGGGGTGGCCAGAGGCATTGCACCAAGAGCTAGGCTAGCCATGTACAAGGTCCTTTGGGAAGAGGGTCTTTACGCCTCTGATGTTTTGGCTGGAATGGACCAAGCCATTGCTGATGGGGTTGATGTCATTTCCATCTCTATTGGGCAGACTGGTGTTCCATTTTATGAAGATCCTGTAGCAATAGCTTCTTTCGCAGCAATGGAAAAAGGGGTGGTGGTTTCATCCTCTGCAGGTAACCAAGGTCCTGCTCTTGGAACTGTGCACAATGGAACCCCCTGGCTTCTGACTGTGGCTGCCGGAACAGTAGACCGCACATTTGGTTCTCTGACTCTTGGAAATGGCCAAACCATTATTGGTTGGACCTTGTTTCCCGCAAATGCGTTAGTGGAAAATCTTTCACTTATCTACAATAAGAATACATCAGCCTGTAACTCAGTGAAGTCGTTATCCAAAGTGGCCATGGAAGGGATCATTTTATGTGACTTGGTGTCAGACCCGGAGTTAGTGATTAAACAAAGGAGGTTTGTTAAAGAAGCCAGTTTGTTAGGGGCAGTATTTATCTCTGATCAACCATTAGTAAATGAAGAACTTGCCAGCTCTCCAAGTATTGTAATCAGTGCAAAGGACGCACCATCTGTGATCAAATATGCAAAAAGCCATAAGAATCCAACAGCCAGTATCAAATTTCAGCAAACATTTGTTGGAATAAAGCCAGCACCAGCTCTTGCTGATTACTCTTCAAGAGGTCCTTCACCTAGCTACCCTGGGGTCTTGAAGCCTGACATAATGGCACCTGGCTCTAGTATCCTTGCTGCTTACCCTCCTGATATATCTGTAGCTGCAATTGGTGACAATGTGTTCTTACCCAGTGACTACAATTTCATGTCTGGAACATCCATGGCCTGCCCTCATGCTTCTGGTGTTGCTGCTCTTTTGAAAGCTTCACACCCTGAATGGAGTGCAGCTGCTATAAGGTCTGCACTAGTAACCACAGCTAGCCATCTAGATAATACACAAAATCCAATTAGAGACTATGGCTATCCTTCAAAATATGCTTCCCCTCTTGCCATGGGAGCAGGTCAAATTGACCCTAACAAAGCACTTGATCCAGGTTTGATATATGATGCCACCCCACAGGACTACGTTAATCTCCTTTGTGCTTTGAATTACACACAAAAACAGATCTTAACCATTACAAGATCAGGTTCCTATAATTGTTCTAAACCATCGTTTGATCTTAACTACCCTTCATTCATAGCTCTCTACAGCAACAAAACAAGGTCAGTCGTCCACAAATTTAAGAGGACAGTGACCAATGTTGGAGATGGTGCTGCCACATACAGAGCCAAGGTGACAGAACCTAAGGGTTCTATGCTGACAGTGTCACCTGAGACATTATCATTCAGATACAAAAATGAGAAGCTAAGCTACAACGTGATGATAATGTATAGCAAGTACAAGAAGGAAAATATCTCGTACGGGGATCTTGTTTGGATCGAAGATGGTGGAAAACACACTGTTAGGAGCCCCATTGTAGTGGCACCAAGTGGAACTGTACGAGCTGTAGTTTGATATTTCCTTGTTCTGGGCATGAAATCCTGCTTCTTCCATGGGACCCAAAATAATAAACAGTGTGATGAATAAGTAATTTCGTATTAGTTCCATTTCCAGTGTCCTATCAGTCATAGCTATCTAGGTGCATGGTGTACTTTTGTGGAAGGGTGAATCAAATGGATTTGTGAAAGTGTTCAATATGGTAAATAAAAATCATGTTTTGGATTAAATAGGTATTTTCTCCAACACATGGCCATGAATCTTTACTCGAATAAGTAATGGATGACACGAAGAAGAGACAATCAGAAAGAAGTGACCTTTGACTGGTTTAAGAACAGCACTTTTGGTTTCTCTTTGAAGCGACGCATCTCACTTATAAAGTCTCATTTTCTGAAGATTGTGATAAAGAAGGTGATGATGGGTTTGAGAGACACAGACATGGTGGTTCAATCATTCTCTTGGATAGAGAAGACACGTGAACGACAATCTGAACTTCAACATGATCGGAGAAATAGTGGTGCCGCATTCTCACTTCCTCAAACGTAGGAGTAGATTGATTATTTTTCTAAAAGGTATATTGAAACAAAATTGAGATTTTTAAATATAGAGTGATTAAATTTTACAAAAATCAATTTAAGAAAAAAAAAGAGTATTGAACCGAATTTATTTTAATAAAACTATATTTAATAATTCAAAAACATTGATGCCTTTGGTTTGATGGGAGGCTTTTCTCTGTTCACATCTGTTGTTGTTATTTTTAGCTCATGTCGGCACAATTATTTTGATTATTTTTATTTACATTGGTTAAAGTTATTATTTTACTTCTGGGTTGATGATTTTTTATAGCCAACTTTTCACAAGTGACATTGACTAAAACCAATACTATTGAATGTTGGCTAAGAGCTTTCTCAATCGATATTGAAAAAATTAAATGCTAACGAATTTTGAACAAAGAAATAATATTGATAAAGAAAATTATACTTACACGCGTAGACTAAAATATATCTAGAAGAAAACCTTAACTAATGTCTATTAAGAAATATTTATAACATCCGTTGAAAGAAAACTGATTTCAATAATGTCATCGGAAACATAACTTCTATCAACATAATTTTTTTTAAAAAATACTATAAGTAAATATAGACAAGAATATAGTATTATCTACCATGATTGAGAAGAAAACCTTGATTAATGTTGATTAATCAATAATCTCAACTTATGCAACCAAAAAATAATTTTAAATAAAAATGGTTAAAAGAACAATCTTTAGTTTGAAATTATCTAGTTAATAGTAACTGTAAAAAAGAAATATCATATTTTATATTTGTTTTTTATCTTGGAAGGAAGTAGAAGAATGATATCAAGATTGAAGTGAAATTGAGGAGAGATTATGAAGAAAAATAAACTACACAGATACGTAAATAAAAAAAGGTAGAAGACAAATCTACCTTATTCCTCTTTCTTCTCCCCTATTCCATTACTCTCTTTTTCATCCTCCACTTTTCACTAAAATTTCAAATGTCTTCGTCTACTTCAAAATTTCTATTTTTCTATACATTTTATCTTCTTAGTTTTCTTATTATTAAATTTTATTGGAGTTAGTTGAGAAAAGTAGTTATCTCTAATTAAAAGATTGATGATTTTGATAGAATTGTGGAATATTTGACATAAATGTGAAAATGACTTAGTTTCTAAATTTTGGTTTTTATGCAAGTGTCGTGGTTGATTGAAAATTTGTTTAAATGTTTGAAGATGAGTGTTGTTGGATTTAGTTTGATAAATGATTGTTTAAATGTTTTTGATTAAATATTGTTATTGATAAATTGAGGCTAGATTATATATTAACTATAGAGTTTTCTTGAGTGAAGTTGTGGATATAATAAATATAAACAAATTAAATTTATATAACCTTTTATTATGAATTTGATAAAATGTTGAGTTACGGACCAAGATTAATTTGAAACTGTGACATCCCAAAATATAGTAACCACATCATATAATTTAGGAGTCAACATTCCCAATAAAGAGAACAGTTAGAGTATGACTTGCAATTAAATACGTAATTACATTCATCCAAATAAAGGATAGAATTTAAAACTTAAACAGTTTTGATTATTTCAAAATAACACCAACTCTTATTTAAAAATCCTAAAAAGACTATATTGCAGCATCACCGTCTTCCAACACTTGCTCCACAGATACCTCCTCTTCATCTGCTCACATCAAAGTGGATGATCATTGCAAAAGAAAAAGCATGCAACAAACACAAACACAAACAAGCAAGGGTGAGCTAGATATAAAAAAAAAACATGTTATACAGATCGCACAGTTAATTCATGTTATCATACATAGATTCATATAAAAGAACAATTAAAGCATACTCATTAAACCATAGTTCACACACTCACACGACATGTAAAAGTTCATCAATCATGGTAAATTGGCATTACAAGACTTGTTACTTTATACCCCGACCTGTTACTTTATAGACCGACTCGTCCGGACTAGAATGATTACCGAGCTATGGCGGGTCATGCACTCGTTGTGGCTTTATGAAACTTGGGCACTACCGCCCTGGCACTACCGCCTTGTGAAACTTGGGCACTACCGCCCGGTGGAACTTTGGGCACTACCGCCCGGCCACAGTCACGAGGTTAATCCGTTATCACTCACCTTGGATCATATGGAAGCATCTAAGACTAGGACCTCCTGCTACTCCTCACCACATGTTCAATCCTCTCTACATGAGAAGAAAGACCATTGGAGTTTCAGGATGACCCCCAAAACTGAGCTACCATGTAATCATTCTATACAACCCCAAAACACCACCATGTATCCTCTCCTTGAGGATCATGGAATTACGTTCATCCATCATACTTTTCAAAAACCACATACTTTCACTTTTACATTGCATACGAACGTAGATATAATACTAATTATACTTCAAAAGACCACAAACAACTTAATAAGTCATCAAAATCACATGAAACCATTCCATGTACATTAATAGGCAATAACAGTCCAAGAAGAACCACTAAACAACACAAAACCCCTTAAACTCATACTTAGACAAGGAAAACAACTTTGAAACCATCACCAACAGTTCCGGAATGGTCCAAAACCCCTAAAACGACCTAGAGAACGTCCAAAAATGATATCCGAAACCCCAAAAACTACCAAAAACTGTCCTGTATGATTTTCCGACAACAATAATCGATTATCATAAGTGATAATCGATTATTTGCGAGAGCTTTGAAGAAGATACAACTTTCTGACTAGAAATAATCGATTATCAAGTGAGATAATCGATTATCAAGTGAGATAATCGATTATCAAGTGAGATAATCGATTATGCTTTTCAGTTTTTGACAGCAACGTGATTTTTCTGGTTTCGGTGCATCTTAGACATATCCAAATGAACAAATAAAAATCTGTAACTCTAATATTGATATGAAACATGTTTATATATGAAAGTAAAGCATTGCATTGGTCATTTGGATAAGAATTAGATGTACTAAACCAACTCAATTTCTACTCCAAAACATTTAACTCAATAACTAGAGGACCCCAAACCCAATTTTTTATTAACTCAGGACCCAATTTCAATCCTACCATGTTGCTAATGGCTTTCCTCAATTTTATGACCTTAGCCAGTTCTAATAGACTCATACGAGCTAGCCCCACTGCTCAATTTCCTTTATCTCACTTCCCTTTACCGTAAGCTGACACAGTACCTGCACACCTATTTATTAACCCCAATACCAACATTTCATACTCCAGTTCTCTCCAACAACAGTCAGTACAACCAACAAATATATCCAGGTAAAATCAACATCCTTACAGCATGATCACACAATTTCTTCATTTTCAACCAACACAATTTAAACATGTTCATCACCAAAACAACATAACAGTAAAAAAAACAAAATAAATTAGACAAGCATATCATACATCATCTAAAATTGTAACTAGCTCCCCTTACCTTGAAGTTGAGCAGTATATCCTACTGGAGTGCCCTAACAGTACCCTCCACGTGAAACTTGACAGAACCTACAGATCACCAAATTGGTGATAGAACATGGCTCTTAGAGCTCGAATAGACAGAGAATGGAAGGAATAACGTACAAGGCACGTGAACCCAGTAAAGTTGCATGCCCTAGGTTCTAGAACAGTGAAAGAGAAAGGAAAAAGGAAACTTACCGTTCAGAATGAAGAGAACGTTCGGTAGAAATGAAACCCTCTACTCCGCAGACGCTTAGGTAGCACCAAAATCAACTTTCTATGGTTCAAGGTTCTGGGTATCTAGAGAGAAGGAGAGAAAACTTTTAGGGCAAGAGTTTCTTTTTAGAGTGAGAAAGGAAAACAGAAAGATGAATCTAACAATTTGGGGAAAGACCCTTGCTAAGGTCATGTTCCCTTAGTTTGGGCTTGGTTGCCTCCAACTGGGCCCAATGGCCTTATAATTTTCTAGGCCCTTACAGAAACAAGTATAAGGTTGATTTTTTTTTATATTTTAAACAAAACGAAGAATATTAACATTTTTACTTCCAAGAAATATCTTGGTAATTGAAAAAAATCAAATACAAGCTTATAGTAATTTTGAGTGGGATGTCTAAACTTTATGGACTTTAAGTCTATTATATAACTGTTGTCATTCACTTCATTACCTATTTTTGGTGATGTGATATTTTCTAAAATATATTATTTTTAGCCAACTTTTTTATAAATGCAAAATGAATATTAATTTTTATATTTGATTGAATTGTAGTGTTATTCGAATGAATTATATTGTATTATAATTTTTATATGTGAATCATTATTTGAGTTGTATACTAAGTGTTGACACTTATAATGTAAAAAATATCTCTTCATTCATTAATTATCTAAGTTACATAAACTAAAATATTAGGTGATGAGAAAAAACAAATAAAGGAGTTGTTACATATTATGACGTGTAAATGTGGAAAGTTGAGTTGTAATAAATTTATCCAAATTCATGATTCAAATTACTTATAAATTCAAGTTTTAAATTGGATCAGATGTTAATATCTTATAAGACTTAATACAAATTTTTTGAAAGTGTCAATCAATATTTCATTTGTTGAATATCTTTTCACATACAAATTTCCAGTTTATATTTATTTGGAATGTTTGTGTTTGATTGAAATTAAATTATTTATAAATTGCTAACAAACGATTTTACATTGATGCTATGTGACTATTCAGTTTAGCTATTAGAGGAAACAAGTTATGCAAGTAATTTACGCTATTATCCATTTACATACTATTTTTATGTAAAGAAAAGTACAGACTTTGCTATAAATAACTTGTAAGTGATCGCCAACAATTTCTAACAATGTAAAGTTTTTAGAGGCAATACAAAGTTATTAAATTATAGTTATAAGAGAAAATAAGTTATATAACGACAATATACAATAGTTTATTTTATCTGTAATTGGTCTTTGTTTAGTTTTGTCTGAATAAGTTTTCATATAGGTAGGACACAAGTCGAAAATCAGAAAGAAAAATAAAACAAAACTCTTCAGCTAAAAGAATAGTTTTTATGTTGAAAAACTTCTCTTATGTGTGTGTTGCAGTAAATTTATGACTGATATGCTGTTGGAGAAATTGGAATAAGTAATTCATCCTCAGGAAGAGGAAACAAAACACAAATGGTCAAGAAAGAATCTGGTTTACGTCTTAAAGGAATAGGAGGTTAAGTAATTCACTTGTACTATTTGAAACCACTTTAAATAATAAGCTAATCTAGTTAAATTAAGGTTGTTTAGGCATTCTGTACCAAGATGTTTATTTTGATTTAATCATCCTTATCACACTCATATAGTTTATTATATATATATATATATATTTTTCTCTTTCTTTCACTGCTAGCATAAGGTTTACACTTGTTTCTTTCTTTCTCTTTCAATACACTAAACTGGTCATTAAAAAATGCTAATATAAAAAAGTTAGTTGCCAATTGTGTGATTAATTCAATGCTGGAAACAACATATTTCTTGCCTAATGTTCCTGGTACAATATCATTCTCACACGGTTAAAACACTTTTACGGGCAAGTATACCAAGAGGATTTGTGTCTGATTGGTGGAATAAGGAAATCTTACAGGAGATTTATTACTTTGAATCAGTCAGAAAAGTAAGGTCAATTTTTTTTTTCTCATCACAAAGCACCTTTGATGCAGAAAATTTGGTCCAATTATATTGCAATGATATTTTCCACAGCTTGTAATAATTACACGTCAACATCATTGATGTTCTACAGACAGAAAAAAATCTTATATATGATGCATGATCTGATCAGTTCTTTCAAACTAAGAAGTTTTCATTTGAGTTGCATAAACAATGAGGGAGCCCATGGCTAACTTTGTGATTCCACTTCCTTTCATGCTCTTCATTACTCATTGGTTTCTGTTGGCTCATCATGGCAGTGCTGCAGAGAGTTCCACATATATAGTCCACATGGACAAATCCCTGTTTCCTCGAGTCTTCACCACCCATCATGATTGGTTTGAATCCATCATTGATTCCTCTAAATCGGCAACACTTGGTAACTCATCCATACAATCACAGAAAGTGTACTCCTATAGCCAAGCAATGTATGGCTTCAGTGCAGTTCTAACATCAGAAGAGTTAGAGGCTGTCAAAAGCTCCCTTGGCTTTGTTGCAGCATATCCAGACAGAACTGCCACCATAGACACCACTCACACTTTTGAGTTTCTCTCCCTAGACTCTTCCAGTGGTCTGTGGCATGCATCAAATTTTGGGGAGGATGTCATTGTGGGTGTTATTGACTCTGGTGTGTGGCCTGAGAGTGAAAGCTTCAAAGATGATGGCATGACCAAGAAAATTCCAAGTAAATGGAAAGGGACCTGTCAGGAAGGGCAAGACTTCAACACTTCCATGTGCAACTTCAAACTGATCGGAGCTAGATATTTCAACAAAGGAGTGATTGCTGGAAACCGCAAGGTTAAAATCAGTATGAACTCAGCCAGAGATACAGAGGGTCATGGAACTCACACATCTTCCACAGTTGCTGGCAACTATGTCAGTGGAGCCTCTTACTTTGGCTACGCTAAAGGGGTGGCCAGAGGCATTGCACCAAGAGCTAGGCTTGCCATGTACAAGGTCCTTTGGGAAGAGGGTCGTTACTCCTCTGATGTTTTGGCTGGAATGGACCAAGCCATTGCTGATGGGGTTGATGTCATTTCCATCTCTATGGGGTTTGATGGTGTTCCACTTTATGAGGATCCTATAGCAATAGCTTCTTTTGCAGCAATGGAAAAAGGGGTGTTGGTTTCATCCTCTGCAGGTAATGAAGGTCCTGATCTTGGTACTCTGCACAATGGAATCCCCTGGCTTCTGACCGTGGCTGCAGGTACCATTGACCGCACATTTGGTTCTCTAATTCTTGGAAATGGCCAAACCATTATTGGATGGACCTTGTTTCCTGCAAACGCGGTAGTGGAGGACTTTCCACTTATCTACAATAAGAATACATCAGCCTGTAACTCAGTGAAGTCGTTAACCGAAGTGGCCATGGAAGGGATCATTGTATGTGACCCAGTTTCAGACCCTGAGTTAGTGTTTGAACAAAGGAGGTTTGTCAGAGAAGCCAGCTTGTTAGGGGCAGTATTTATCTCTGATCAACCTTTAGTAAATGAAGGACATGCCAGATCTCCAAGTATTGTAATCAGTGCAAAGGATGCACCATCTGTGTTCAAATATGCAAAAAGCCATAAGAATCCAACAGCCAGTATCAAATTTCAGCAAACATTTGTTGGAATAAAGCCAGCACCGGCTCTTGCCGATTACTCTTCAAGAGGTCCTTCACCTAGCTACCCTGGGGTCTTGAAGCCTGACATAATGGCACCTGGCTCTAATGTCCTTGCTGCTTTCATTCCTGATACTCCAGCAGCTGCAATTGGCAACAATGTGTACTTACCTACTGACTACAATTTGCTGTCTGGGACATCCATGGCCTGCCCTCATGCTTCTGGTGTTGCTGCTCTTCTGAAAGCTGCACACCCTGAATGGAGTGCTGCTGCTATAAGGTCTGCACTAGTAACCACAGCCAGTCCTCTAGATAATACACAAAATCCAATTAGAGACTATGGCTATCCTTCTCAATATGCTTCCCCTCTAGACATGGGAGCAGGTCAAATTGACCCTAACAAAGCACTTGATCCAGGTTTGATATATGATGCCACCCCACAAGACTATGTTAATCTCCTTTGTGCTTTGAATTACACACAAAAACAGATCTTAACCATTACAAGATCAGGTTTCTATAATTGTGCAAAACCATCGTTTGATCTTAACTATCCTTCATTCATAGCTCTCTACAGCAACAAAACAAGGTCAGTCGTCCACAAATTTAAGAGGACAGTGACCAATGTTGGAGGTGGTCCTGCCATATACAGAGCCAAGGTGACAGAGCCTAAGGGTTCTGTGTTGACAGTGTCACCTGAGACATTATCATTCAGATACAAAAATGAGAAGCTAAGCTACAATGTGCTGATAAAATATAGCAAGTACAAGAAGGAAAATATCTCGTATGGGGATCTTGTTTGGATCGAAGACGGTGGAACACACACTGTTAGGAGCCCCATTGTAGTGGCACCAACTGGAATTGTATGAGCTGTAGTTTGATTTTTCCTTGTTCTGGGCATGAAATCCTGCTTCTTTCATGGGACCCAAAATAATAAATAGTTTGATGAATAAGTAATTACGTATTAGTTCCATTTCCAGTGTCTTATCAGTCATAGCTATCTAGGTGCATGGTGTACTTTTGGGGAAGGGTGAATCACATGGATTTTTGGAAGTGTTCAATACGGTAACTAAAAAGCATCATGGCCTCAATCTTTCCTTGAATAAGTGATGGATCACAGAGAGAAGGAGAATATAGCCAATAGGATCCACGTAGATTAACTCATTCTTGCACTGCAAAATCCTTTTAACTGGGAATGCTGCTTACAAGTTTTTGCAAAAACAAATTTTGATGTGACATTTACATTAGCCATAAGAATAGCAGTTCACAGCTAAATTACTTTCACAATATTAATATAAAAAACAAACTTTAAAGACTAGAAATGATACATGAATGTGTCCATTATATTAGTTCTTGTATACTTAGTAATTACAAAAATTTCAACTGCTTCAGAGGAACCTCAATAGTTATTTTTACATGTATCTGATCGAGTTAAAAGTAATTGGTACAGATATTCTCCTTTACTCAATAAGTAACATGTTCATAAAAAAGCAAAAATAAAAAACCAAATTATATATCTTCTTTGAACTTTCTATAAGTGAAAGCAACTGCACTCATCTCTGAGTAGACTTTTGTTAGAGTGAAAAAATAAAATAAGTTATCCAGCTTTGTTTTTGTTCTAGTCATTAAAGATATTATATTGGCGCATAAGGAAAGTAATCCCCTTTAAATTTGTCGGAAAAGAAGAAGAAGAAAACAACCCCTTTAAAGTTCTCCATATTCGCTGTTTTATATTCTCGAATGATATTCGACCACTTCAAATTAGACACGGAAATATGTGAAGACAAATTATGCTTTGTTGTCTAAGGCCTAACCTTTATATGAATCTACCAAGTGCCCATTAAGGGAAATATCATATTATAAATAAAACCACAATTAAAAAGTTTCAAAGTTTGCATATTTCTTTTCAATTTAAATTTAAAATTACATATGATTTTAGTCTCTTATTACACCAATTTTGATTTCATTCCTGTTTTAAATTTTGAATCATTTACGTCTTCAAACTTCGTTAAATGAATTTATTCATGATGAAGATGTTAAAAATTTGTTTAAATCGGCAAAATTGTCACGTATATAATTCCATATTGACATACTTGTCTTTATGGCTACGTTGGTTTCAGTGAATAACATTGTTTACGTTGACTTGAGAAGACAGATTTGAAAAATCATTCATGTTTGTTTGGAGGAATTTGAGAACGATTAGAGGCGCTGATTTACGGGATTAATGGTTTCTTTCATCTGCACTAATGTAAAAAGATTCGGGAGATATACAATGAAAAACCCTATTTACCCTTGAAGAAACATGCCTCTAAATCATCACAAAGGTTACATAATGGTGGTGGAAGGGAATCTTTTGGGTTGTGAATCATTTTATTACAACCTGTATATCTACTTTTTATTATTATTATTTTAAAATAATTTATCAGTGTATTTATTGTATAAACATGAATATTTAATTTGACTTTAAAAACAAATAATAATAATAATAATAATAATAATAATAGAATTTTAAAAATTAATTTTTATTTTTTTCTCTCTTTATAATAATTTTTACAATTATATATAATATTAATAATTATCATTTTATATTACTTTTACTCTTAAGGGTATTTTGGTAATTTTTAATTTCTACCAATTAAACAAATTTTTTAACTCTGATCAATCAAATCCTACACTAATTCTAAATCCCCTCTCAATTTCCTCCAAATCCACTCAAACAAATAACAAAAAATTTACCCTCTAACCATTCATTCACTCTTTCCCAAATCATCTCCCACAAATCATCTCATGTGAACAAAGTATAAGTGTTAGTCTACATGTTTATATGTATATCCACTTTAATATATATTAACATGTGACAATACCGGTTATAACATAAACAAATATTTAATGTTGTTTGACTATAAACATTAAATATATTCATTAATAAAGTTTGGAAATAAAAATGAATGAAAATTTATAATAGAAACCAAATCCAATTTTATAAAAGTTAAAATATTAAAATGATATTTAACCTTTTAAAATTTGAAGAGCATATATTTCTTAATTAATATCAGATGATTTTGAGCTCACTAGTACAAATATTATACACATTATATTATATGTATTCTAAGAAAGAAATATAAAAAAAAAGTAAATTGAAAAAAATTAATATATACATATAATATAAATTATAAACAAAAAATAACCTATTATATTATTTTTGAAATAATTATCAAAAATTACTTCAAAATTAGATTAATATTTAAAATTAAATTTTAAATATCAAAATAATAGTTAAAATTCAAATAAAATTATAAGTAATATATATATTAATATGTAAAATAATAAAAGTTATTAATTATAAATGTAGTAAAAACATTTAAATTATATAATGATATAAAAGAAAAAAAGATAAGTTAAGAAATATACGAAATTACAAGAAAATAAAATAAAATTTTAAATACTTACTTTTTTATATTCTATGTTTTATAAACAATAAACTTTTTCAATTTATATATTTCTATTCTATAGGTAGAATACATATATAATATATAATGTATAGTATATTTTTACTAAAGTAAAAATCATCTAATACAAAATAAAAAATATATCGTTTATTTTAATTTTAAAATAATTAAATATGTTTTAAATTTCTTAATTTTTTACAATATTAAATTTTATTAATATTTTAAACTTTGATTTATTTTTATTTTAAATTTTCTTAATAAATAATGTAGATGTAACCACACATATTTACATGTACTGAAATAACCTATCAACACGTGACACACGTACTTACATGAGGCTTTTGCACCAAACTAGGCAAATATGCCATCTTTATTAGCAAAATGGGCAAATTTTGACCCAAAGTGAAGTCGTGGGGGCCAAAACGACTTCAATTGAAGAAGTCGTGCCCCCCTGCACGACTTCACCCTGTTCATTTGATCAGGGTTGAAGTCGTGCACCCCAAAAACGACTTTAGGGTATGGTAATCGATTACCATACATGTTGTAATCGATTACCATACCGTTTTTAATAAAAAAAATAAAAAAAATTGAAATCGTAGGGGCGGTTCACGACTTCAATAAGAGAAGTCGTGCACCCCCAACACAACTTTACTTTCTTATTATTTTTAACTTTTATTAATTAAAATCATTTACAATTTCTAAAAAATATTTTTAAATGTATTTAAAATAATTAAAATTATATCTAATTAATAATAAAAAAATTTCAATATTATTAAATAAATAAATTTCATACTTTTAATTATTTTTGTAATTAAATTAAACTTTTTATAAAAGAATTTCAATTAAATAATTTATAACTATAATTATCTAATTAAAAATTCAAAAAAAATTATATTTTATTATAATTTATTGTTTTTAATTTTTATTATTATA